GTTTTGTGACACTGGAGAGGAAGGGGTGACCACTGTACCACATTCACACTCAAAAGAGCACTGCAAGAAGAAAAAAACAGCTTTTCCAAAGCTTACACCGATTTCAAACACCCAACCCCCCAGGGGGAAAAAACGAAAGAGAGGATTGGGGGAGAGAAGAGAGATAGGAGAAGAAGAGAGAGGGGGGGAAGGGGGCAGAGGGAGAGAGGAAAGAGAGAGAGAGGATTGGGGGACAGAAGGAGAGAGAGTGGGGGAAGGGGGCAGAGAGAGAGGATAGGGAGAGAGAAGATAGATGTCTCCTCCTGCTCGTGTCCTGCACAGAGAGAAGAATGGGACCTCTGACTCTCCTGTCCTGGTAGACCTGACATCACCGGTGATGAGAGCGCAGCAGTTACATTCCTAGAAATGGTTGGCCAGTCTAAACACTTTTCAGCCTGTGACCAGGGAGAGAACAACAAGCGTCCGCCTTCCATTGAAGCATCAAGGAAATGGACTTCCTTCCCCTGGGAGAGCTTGTTTTGTACAGAGCTCTGGCGTGAGTGTGAATTGTAATCAGACAAATATCTGTTTTTCGGAGCTGCCAGTCCGGCGATTGTTCGCTTCCCTCAAAGTTGACAGCCTGGAGACCTGCTGCTCACTCTCAAATTCGTCTTCTGTGACCATTGGAGACAAGCTTATGTAGAGAGTCCTCTGACCTCCAGACAAGAGGACCTCATGCCCAGCTGAAGACCACCAGAACCTCAGGAGACCGTTGGGACCAGGTCACCGTTGGCTGGGTCTCTTTGGTCGAGGGCCAACGGAGAGGCCAGAAGTCTTGCCACACCCTTCCAAACCCTCCAAAGACCCACGAAGAACTCAAAATACACCCCGTGAGGGAAATCCTGGGCTTAGCCCTCGTTCGGACAACCAGGCTGGGACAGCCACTATCTTCGAGAGCTCCTGACCCCACCTCAAAAATAAATCAAAAGACGCTGGCAGCGGTGGGGCCCACAGAGGCAGAGATCGGCCACTGGAACCTGGGGACCCCCGGATAGTGCCGATCAGCGACTTGGGGCCCCAGCGGCCCTTGGCCTTGAAGAGCATTACTTTCGTCTGGCAGCCCTGGCCCTGGCCATGGCCAAGTGGTTCAAGGAGCTCCCGTTGTCACTGAAGAATGTCTCAGACAGAGCCAAGCCGGGGCTCCCAGGGGCCAAAACCCTCCCTAAAGTTGGACCCTCTCATAAAAACTCTGACTCATCCGGTTCCTCGGTGAAGAACCGCAAGAACTCATCATCAGACGGACAGGGGAAGGGTCTAAAGGAGAGCCGCCTGTCCAGGGAGAGCCTCCAGAGCTTTCTGCCGGGCAAGAGCCGGAAAAACTCCAGGGATGAGATCGGCGCGTTTCGGTCCGCCAAGGGCCACAACCCCTTTATCAACCGCCTCATCAAGGTGGACCCCAGCCTGCAGGAGAAGGACGGGAGGAATCTTCAAGAGGTCAACGAACAGAGTCAAGAGACAGATAAAGGGATCAAAGAGGAAACTGTAAGTATATTTTATGAGGGACAAGAGAACAATGGGGAGAGTCCTCATAGCGTCACTCCTTTGTGTGGCCCTATAGAGAACCGCGCCCCTAGTGGTCACACCATGAAAACATGGCATTTGGAAGGAATTGCAAGCTTTTCCCTATATTTATTTTCCAAAATAAATTTAAAAAAGGGAATGAATATTCTTAATTTTTTTTTATATTTAAAGATAAAAAA